GAGAGAGAGAGAGGTACAACATATATCGTCGTCAAAATCGCGTTATATTAGTCGCGTACGAACGAGTCCTCCTCCTGCTGTACAACCCAAACTCTCCGTGCGTATAACGTGCGTGTATGTTTGCGTGTGTCTCCATCCCCATTCCCCGCAGCTCGCCGTCGACATAAAGTACGTATCGCATTAGCGCGTTAACGCCAATGCGTTAGCCGCTCGGCCGGCGCCGAATGGCGGCCGGGATAAACGAGGATAAAATGACGGGCGGGGGTGGCCACGAGGTGGTGGTTGGACGTGAGGAAGGGTGTGGAATTGTCACCGATTGAAAACAACGCGCGTCGCTCACGTAGGAACGCAGAGCGGAAGAGAGACGGATAGAAATGAGAGGAGAGAGAGGAGGAGGAGGAGGAGGAGGAGGGGAGGGGGCGGACGGACAAGCAGGCGAGGGAGGAGGAGGAGGGTGGTCGCGTTGGGGGTGCACAAGGGGGTGCATTCTATGGGGAGCAGCGAACAGTGTCCCGCTGCGTTCGATTACAACGTCGGGCGTAATAACCGAATTGCCCACGGCCCGTTAAAGCGTTTACACCGCTTGACGGATGATCGACCACGGTGACAACTCGTTTCGGGTAATATATGAATATGGACCGTAGAGCGCGTTAACAGACTCCCCAAATGAAAATGGCCGACAGCGTTCGTGCCTTATTTTCCGATAAATAACGTACATGCCCTTTCTTATAAGAAGAAAGAAAATGAGAACGATCTAGAGTTTTCTTTCGTTCACCAGCGACGTTTTGAACGCTTGAAAAAAAAAAACGTCGCGAGTGATCTAAGTTACGCGCGTTGCAAAAATTGAGTTAACTCGATAAAACTCATGCACGATCGGATAGTTAACGAGTTTTAGAATCTATTTAGCTTTTTAGAATTATTCTATACCATGAGATATACAGGGAGAACATGTACCAATACCATAGTAATTAAATTTTTAATATTTGTACATTAATCGACAAATTGCTTCAATAATACGCTCTCACTCATCATAATACTACATAATTGCGCGCGCTGTCAAAAATATGACAATTTCATTATTCTAAAGAGAATCGGGGGTTGAATATAAATCAAGCTACGTTGCGGGGATGTTGTGATACGATTAAAATACTAAAATCGTTACGAGCCTCTCGGTTCCGTCATTTAAGTCACCCCAATTTTGATAACGACGGCCGCATATCGGATTATAACAATCACTCGTAATGACCATGATGCTCACCCGTTAAACTGTTTATACCCGTTTACACCGGTATCGGGTGATCGATCAACGCGCGGCGGGTCGTCGCGTTTGTAACGAGAACGTAATTCCCATTCTCTCGCTTGCATTCAATAAAGATCACGCTAACGCGCGGTGACGAAAATGACACGTACGTAGAACTGAATCGTCCGAAATTGTTTTCGGATTTCAACCGATCGCAATGTCGATTCTTTATCCGCCAACGAATTCGGAATAATTCTCTGACGGACAATTTGACTTATCAAGTCTGACGATACTCTTCATTTTACGAGAGCAACTCCGATTCAGTTTCATTTCTGAAAATATATTTCATGCTGTTGAACAATTAATAACTTATTTATTGTTGGTTTCGTGTTAATTAAGTTTAACCTCTAATTAGATTTAATCTTTCCTATAATTCTTTCTAGTTTCGCAAAAAGACAAGAAGTCAACAAAGATTTAAGTTTCCCAATATTAGCGAAACTGGCCGTGTGGTCAAACAATTTCAGAGCTGCCAAAACAAAACTGGAAATCAGGGAAATCACGGGATTGTCAGGGAAATTAAAAGCGGTCAAGAAAATCAAAAAATCGGAGAATTTTGCAAAACTTTTTTGCAAAACAGGGAAAATAAAAATTTTCAGTTTTAAACACATTTAATATGTTCATCACACCTTTGGAATACTACCAACTTAACAATTAAAAATACAAATACAATTTAGCAACATTAATAGTAATTTATATTGCTATATAAATTTCTCAACAAAATATTTAACGATTTCCAAATCAGAATGAAGATACAAAAAAATTTTTTAATATTACTGAAAATCGGGGAAAATCATGAAATTTTACCTGAAAATCAGAGAAAAGTCATGGAATTTTAGGATGAGGAATTTATGGACTAAACCGCGAGTTTTTCTCTTATTCTTTCCACTTCTCTTTCTCTCTGTGCTGACGGAACGCAATGACCGGCGTGCCGCGTGATAACCGAATCGCACACGGATCATTAAAGCGATTAGGCCGACTGTTGTGGAGGCGGCGATTGCCATTTGTCGTTGCCGCGTGCAGAGAATCCTCGCGTTTTCGCGCGGCGGTGACTCCAAGATGGATTCTCGCGCTGGTTAAAGCCGAATCGAGCCGAGCCGAGTCGGATCATACCATGCCGCACGCGCGTATCGGATTAATTACCGTCATTCGATCAAGAACGACATCGCGGCGCATTGGTAATGCGGCATTACAAATGACACGCACGGCCGCGATATATGCCGGGCTATAAATTACGTGCCGCGGCGCGTATACGCGGTGTATGCCGGCAGAAATGCGTGAACCGGTGAAATTGATGTTTTTATTGTTGTTAATGACGTGATTTAATGAATTATTATTACCGTTCGGCAGTGGAACATCGCAGGATTGAAACGTCGCTTACTTAGTGCGAGACGATTCGCGACAATCTCGCGTATTATAATTCAATTTATCGATACTGGATGATCCGTTTGAAACGCGCGCGCGCTCTACCTGGTATTCCAACTATTGTTAGCTGTCTAAAGCACCTTTAATGTAAAGTTATAGCTGCGCTTATATACGTGGTATATAGAATGTTCTCTGGAAATTTACACGACTTGACAAGATGACGCAATATTGATACGTGATAAAGAACAGCTATAAGTCATAGGTCAATTTAGATCGTATTTATATGAATCGATACTAATATGAATATGAAATAATTATAGAGATCCTTTAATAAGAGTCTGAATTTAAGAAAGCCACTTTTTTTAGTCATGTTTTAATAATTTATGAGAGAGAAAAAGAGAGACAGAAATAGATAAAAAAAAAAGATGAGAAACAGTAAATATATGTCCTTCTCTCTCGCAAACTTCTGTTGTTAAACTACTACTCTGCTCACAAAATTTCGGCTCGTGTCCAAACTCTTATTTGAGAATCTCTAGAAATAATTATACATAGACTTACTATAATAATGTCAAGGTTGTTGGTGAGATGGTCCGGTAGAACGCGTTTGCTCACTTCCTCTTCCGGCATGCCGTCGAACCTGTCGTGCTTCTTCCTCTCTTTGTACGTCTTTGCACGTTTCTTGGCCTCTGCGAGTTCCGCTCTGAAAGAAAAAAAAAAAGTGGATACAGAGGGCCTTAATAATACGCTGGATTCCTTTATGCTGCGTCATACGATTCAGCGAAAGGCGCACAACTATTTCTCTCGATCGGCAGAAGACACGCGGGCTTTCCGCGTTTGCTTTTTGTCAAGCCGACGAACTCGCGCGCGTCTTGGACAACTTTGCGTTTCGATTTGCGACACTGTAACACAATGTAACGTTTTATATCGGCCTGGGACTTGTAAGCCGTCGTGAATACATCGAGATGAATAAGCTCGGATCTCGCAAGATAAAATGACGATGGCAAAATGCAATTTACGAACTTTACTTTTTTTTTTTTTAACAAAACATACTGGGTAATAAAACATTATGAAAATACAACAAACAGTAAAAAAAATCATATAGAAAGCTATAGGAGTCAATCTTTGTTGTTGTTAAAGATTTCGAGATATACATTTAATTAGCAACATCATATATTCGTACGTTTCCTGTTTGAGTCATCTTCAGCGTTACAATCTTAATAATCATAGCAATAAATAAATCACAGTCAGAGTCTATATATACAGTTTTCTCTCCTTTTGTATGGGACCATTGTGGAGCATTTGCAAAGTAAAAGCAAGTTATCCAACACAGTTAGTAAGCTGAATGGCGATAAAGACTCAAGTTGAAATTTAAAAAAATCGTTGGAGAAGGTAAAAATCATAGAGGACAATAGAAATGAAAATTATGCTCACGGAGTCAACAAGGTCACAAGAAAATAATGATATATCGTAAGTCACGAGAGAATTGTAGAGCGTCGTCATCGTAAATTAAAATAAGAGATTAAAATTTGAAACGGATCAAAAGCATGTCTTGATAGTGTCATAACGTTCACTCCGATAATAAAAAGGTGATATGTAACAGAGAGGTCAATCTGGAAAACAATAACATTTTATACTTTAAGTACCTCCATGTAAGCGTGGCTTAAGGCTTTCGTGTCAGTTTGTAAATTTAAACTATTAGTCGATTAATATTAATATTATAACATTTAATATTATAACATTTCCGACATAATTTCTTGTAAAAAATGTTAGGAAAATAATTTTTTGATATTCTGAACATAAGTGTTAATGAACGCGCGAATAAAATTTAATGTGAATTAAAGTATTTTGTAAATAAAAAATATTAATTAGTAGTTCTGCAGTGAAATGTACAATAGATGATTGATCACGCTAATTAATATATTTGTGTACGCCATTCTTCCTTTCAAGTTTTATGCAAAAGTAGCGCGCAATTTCATAAAAAAGTGATAGGAAACGGAGCAGAATTTTTATACGTTAGCATAAATGGGCCTTTGTTTAGGGGTATTCAATTAAATAGACCGATGTACCGATGTACAACATGTCAAGAGGGTATGAATAATTCTCTCTTAGATCTTCAATTAACGTCTTAATGAGCGCGTTATCTTCTAACGTATCTTCGTAATAGCGCATCTGATCGTGTTACGTTCCTAATATGCGGAACTATTTTTAAGTTTTCGGCCAGCTTCACAAAAATAAGCGCAACTGAAGATCCTATCGGATCAGTAACAACATGGTGCCCGGTCAGACGGACATTGTTAGCAGAGCGGATATTTTTAACCGTGGCTGCATGCAAATATATAACTAACTCTAGTTATATTGAGTCGCGGCTTCGTGACCGGTCCGCGTTCCTTCTTAGTTCCACTCCTCTTTGTACTCATTAATTTGCAATAATAATAATAATTATTATTATTAATATTTCTTCACTGTAGATAGTAAATTCTGAACTCAATTTTGCAAAAGTATAAAGTGTTATTTAATATTAACTTTGACTTAATTCCTTCTGACCACGTTGGTATAAACTATACGTGAAAATATGATGCTTATCCTTAAAGGGTTGAAACCGTAAATGAATCTTTTTTGTTGCGCAGTCAACCTCACATATCCGTGAACGATATTTCGCAGTGGGCTTTTTTTACAATGTTGAATTAAAATTTTTCTTAAATAGCGAGTCTTATGACGTACCCGACAAGTCTCATCTAAGGTGTATAAAAAAAATTGTGTATAAAAAAATTGTCACGATTATGCAAGCATGTAATTGAATTGTAACAAAAGGTACATAATAGCAAAACTGTATTTAGAATTTAGTATAATCGCGAAGTTAGTATAATCGCGGTTGTTGACAATCGCAATTGTGATTATATATGTTAAACTCTTACTCCTCAGGGGTGAGTATCATCTCTGACTTTTTTTTGCGGCCTCGCTTCTTTGGCTGATGCGCCAGCTGCGGATTGACGTTGGCGGCGCCGTTCATCACAAGATTCATCTGATGATGTTGTGGCCCGGACAGCGCCCCGGGCGGCGTCGTGGGTGTACCTAGCCCAGGTTGGGCGCCGCCCGGACACGTCATGCTCTCAGGATTGCCGCCGCCACCGCCGCCTGGACTGCTTGCTGTCCTTATGCCACCCATCGACATCTCTTCGTCAACAAACGAATATGGGTCCACCGGCGTCTCGCATTTTATCGCGACCTGGAAAAGAATGTCAGCAGACATTGGTGGATACGTTGAGCTTATTATATTCGGCGCCGTTGTGTCCCGCTGGGATAATGCAAGGATTTTGGAATCTAGCACTTCCGCAACCAAATGGTACGGAAGTGCTAGAGATCAAGGACGATAGATAGGAAGATTAGAGAAAGTGTTTGACGTTTCTGTTTCTTCGTTGAATATTTCAATTCTGCGGAGCATCTTGATTCATAATTAAAAATCGTTAACCATATCTAATATATAATTTAAAAAAAAATTAATATAAGGCTTCAAATATTTCACGATAAATTCCGATGCGATATTAAGGGCAAACCTTATTACAAGGGTAACCGTATATTTACTGACCGAATTTCTCGCGTTTTCCTGAATAATACATGCGGGCAAAAGAAAGAAAAATGCTGGCGCACCAGTCGCGGCGAATTATCCTTGTGATATCTCGAATCGCGATGACGGCTGATGTTCCAGCCTAATTTAATTCTACCTCGAAATTACGGCGCGAAATTTTTCGTCGCGTCCGCAAGTTTCGCAGGTGGTCGGCTGCGGAAAAATGAAATTTCTCCTGAGCACGTACAATCCCGACGTAAAACATGTACCGACGATCACGGACACGTACAGTGGCGATCATAAAACGTACGTATCCCAGCCGGTGCTATATGTATGTATATTTCTCTCTCTCTCTCTCTCTCTCTCTCTCTCTCTCTTCTATCTCTCTTCTGTCTCTCTTGATGCCCTTGGGGAAATAGTAATAGCGCAATTGCCACATGGACCGAAAATACGCGGCCACGTACAACGTATCAGCCATTCGCGGTTGTAAAATGTGCAGCTGTGTCTCTTTTTTTGCAAATTGCGCGTGTTACGGACTGACGCGATCACCGTTCTTCTCCCGTTGCATTTTTTGTACCGTCTGCTTTTTGCATTAGCTAAAATCAACTGAGGTTTCAGTGATTTTCTACCTCTTTTTGAATATGAAATTAGAAAAAAATAGAAGAAGATTCGTAACATTGGCTACATAAGCTAATTGCTTTGGATGAATGACAGGCTTTATAAGAATTGAATATCTGACAAGATGTGAAACGCGCACGTCAGTAATATAAAGGAGGTCAAATTATCTGGAAAGTTCCTTACGTCGATAGAGTTTTGTCGTGATGATATTAACGAGGTTGGTATTAGATGATTAACGCGACAGGTATCCAAGTGACGTTTTGTTCTCTGACTCTTCTCGACGTTCGCGCAAAAATCCGATATCGTTTACTAAAATAAATGCTTCAAGCGCTATCCTGCTCGATGAAATCAGAAATTATTCAACAATTCCGTTATTGTATTCTGAAGGCTGTCAATAATGCGATAATTTAGCGTATCAATATTCGCATATTCACCACTCTTAATTTTAAATGTTCTCGCTATCATTTGTTCATTTTAGCAAATGTGGATGCAAAATATTTCGTACAATTGGCGAAAACGCAACGTCTACTTCCCGTTCTCTATTCTATTTTCGTTCACAAATATATAAGAAAAATAGTGCTTTTGCAACGAGTCGCATTTAATGTTCTCACTCGGAAAGAACCCCGTTGCTTTTTTCAACGCCCACGGAAATGAAAGCATAAGAGATTACGTGAATCCGACAGAGGTTTTTTTATCGCAATACACATAAACATACTTTCGTTTGCAATTTTCGACCTGGTCTCCCGACTATGTGGACTTTCCTAGTCGGCATATCCGCGCTCTTGACCCGGTGATAACCCTGCAAAATCGAGGTCGAAATCCCACGAAGATAAGAGCCGCACTGACTGGTAGTTACCGATAACACGCTATCCCTACCCTTTTTCACAGGGCTCGGGTTTCGCTCGAAAGTCACCGACAATATTCCACACGATAAGAACATACGTTCGCGCATGTCCCATTGTTATTATTTGCAAACAAAAGGACCGTGGCGAGTGTCGCGAAAGTAACGCACAGATTTGTTTTACCAGCGATGTTAAAGCACAATATTTGCGTTAAAAAAATAGGTAAATATAGGAAATTTTTATTGCGAGACATTGGGCAAAGGATGTTTGTTTATCGATTTGAAGAGCCATTAATCTATACGTTTCGGGAAAATATCCGTCGCGCCGTTGTGTTGTGATAATAAAAGCAAACGTACATCACCGCTTATCTAACTCCTCTTTTTCGTCTGTCTTTCCCAAGCAATAATTGAATTACATTCAAAAGAAAAAAATCAATTATATATAAAGAAAAATATATAGAGAAATCGAAACACACACACACACACACACACACACACACACACAATAATTCGATCTTATTAATTTTTTTTCTATAAAGATAATGCAACTTTCGTGAAAGTGACGTTCCTTTTAGGCTATTCATTTCTTCAATTGTCTCGGAAAAAGGAATCTATACCATGAATGCCTGGCTCGTTTACGCAGAAACAATTGGACGTCACAAAATCTAGGGAAGGGTTAAGTAAAACAATGTGAAATAGGATCGAGAAAAGAGAAGCGTGATAATGCGAACTCGATAAATCCGGGACGTGTTCACGGTTAACAATTCGATCAAGGGAAATTCGCTTCGCTCGTCGGCCGTTCATTCGTTAAAATGAGGAGCCGGTAAAACCGAGATCGATCGGTCATCACGTCACGAGATAATTTTCGAGAAAAAGACTATCGATCCCGACAGCAGATAACAACTTTGCGGATATAATGGCAATTTAATATCGGATGAAATTTCTGTAATTCGCGCGCGATAGCGCCGATAGCCAAATTGGGGGAGCTGGGCAACCTGCAATTAATTCATGAGCGGAAAATGTGCGTTCTGATTGAAATCCCTGAAAATTACCACCGTCAAAATATTCAACCGAACACATTTGTAAAAGCTTTTATTTTGCCGGTTTGTAATGCGAAAAAGCCAAAAGCCGTTGGAAGGATGCAATAACTCCCTTTCTGTATTTCTTTCGCAATATATGAATTATATCTTGTATATAACTCTTGATGCAGATATATAAATATATAGGTATCATGAAATGTGTCATTTAAATTTGCTACTTTTCGGGAAAAATTCTCTAAGAAATTAATTTCTATTTTTTCCTTTCGTTAATAAATCTGGTTTTCATTATAAAAATATAAAAGGATTTTTCATCGAACAACGTGAAACCGGTGAAACGCTGAAATATTATGAAATTATATTTCCATGATATTTATTAACAGAAATTTTTTCATCGCACGTTTTGCGCTAAATTTCGTAATCACGTAACAATCAAAGAAATTACACAGATATAAACGTTCGCGGAACAACTCGTTTAAAGATCTCTCGTTCGTATTAACTGGAAAATAAGTAACACCGCGTGCGGGGCCCATCCACGGCTTTCATTGTACCGCAACAGAGGTAATGTTGCGTAAGTAGATCGTAAAACTAACATGAAAATGCAAATCGCTGCGCGCGGCATTGCGAAAATCCCGGAGTGACGATTGCGTGCGTCTTTATTGCAATTTATTGCTCATAATTTTGATTGCGAGGTGCTAGATACGCCAATACAGCGGTTCCTAATGAGAATCGTCTGCGTTTTTTATTGGCTAATAAGTTTGATGTTTTATGTGCGTTTTTTTTTTCTTACGTACGTAATAACATATATTTTCTCTATCGATTATCGAGTATCGCTGAACATACGTCACAATACGCATAGTTTCATATCGACTTCGATCGCATTATTTCTTATTTAATTATTACTTGTTTATAAATATCATCGTCTCTGAACTACAGATTTTAAATCGCGCACTTTATCGCGTTATAGAATTTCGAGATAATCGTATCGTGTGGACAGTAAATTTTATATTATTATCAATGCGTTACACGAGCATTATTTTATTACAAAAGAGAGTATTTAATCGTTTTGAATATATATATCAAGGATTTAAATTTTTTATATATTCACGTAGATAATCGAAAATATACGAGCGTTAATTTCAGCTTGTTGTGTTAGTGTAAATTAGATGAAATGTTACATATAATCCAAAATTCTGACGTAAGATCGATTGAGAATATGCCGTACGACCATCACACGCAACCTCACGGTATAATTACAAGCAATCACACGAATATATACATATTCTGCAAGCGTAGCATTATATTCTCGACATTTCAACGTTGTAATTTAGCCGCAAAACGTCTCAATTATAGTCCTTCAAACATCACGATTTTGTGATACGAGAGATACATCTTTTCTCGAGATATTCCTCCGATATTCCTCTGATTATTTTTGAGACATCGTGATAATTATGAATCGCTCGTTATCGGTCGCTATGTAAAAGAGCTCGAGGGAAAAGAACGAGATGGCAGGGAGGAGTAACGGGGGCTGGTCAGAGGCGGCAGGGTAGGCAAATATGAAAAACTCACCTGTCCGAGGGTGGAGGCGGTCGAGCCCGGCTGCTGGGGTTGATGCGCTGTCGCCGATATCGGCGTGAGGGGCGTGTGCGGCGTGTGCGGTGTGTGCGGCGTGTGTGGTGTCAGCGGCGTGTGATACTGCTGACTGCTGTCACCGCCGGTGCTCCTCATCTCGAGGTCCGGACTCGTCTCGTAACCGTCGTCCCTCGCCTCCTGCTTCACCATCACCCCTGCACACAGAGACAAGGATAGGGCGACGCCCTTTAGATTTTCGGAACTCGTTCTCATCGTTCCGACACCCCGGGAGCTTTCTCGAGCCTCCTGGGCGTCGTGGAGCGAAAAATTTTCTCACGCGACAACGTGCCGCGCGCACCACGTTGTTGCGGTGATTAACTCTTTATAGCTGCGCGCGATAATAACTCCCCATCCCCTGAGTTCCTCACTCTGTGAGGAGTTAAGGAAAAAAAAAAAAAAAAAAAAAAAAAATGCAGAATGAGCAACTGAAGTTGGAGCGGAACTTTGAGAGTGAATTACTAATGCTCGAAAAAAATACTAATTAAATCACTACTTCTATTAATATTACATTTACATCGTGATAAATTGTTGAACAAGATTTCTTTCACCTAATTTTAGTTCCTCAGCTCAACACAGACACCAGACTCCCCTGACGGCTCGTTAATCATTCCCCAAGTGTTTCTTCTATTTTCCTTCTGCGTACATACACGTTAACTAGCACGAATTATCGCGCTATTAATTCGCGCAGGAACTCCTGTCACTCATCTCGTCGTATTGTGAAATACTTCCTCCGCGTAACTGAGAGAGCAAATGAGTGACTCATCGAGTACCATCTAACTCTAATCTCGGCAGCTACAGGTAAACAGGCACCAGTTGAATTTTCTGCTCGGGTTAGAGATAGCTACCAAGCGGTTTGCCAGGGATCAAAGTGCGCTTCGAACTTTCGATATTTGTTCGCCAACTTTTTCAAACGATCGAATTTATCTTTTCTACGGCTTTAAAATCGGGGGAAAAAGCTTGATAAGTTGTAACTTTCTCCTACGGCTTCCCGTCGAGATGAAATTTACCGCTGTGTATCACCGATGAAAAATAATTCTTGACAAGATTGTGCAAAATAACCTTTCATACTTTTCAAATAAAAAGTTCTAAGAGTTGAAAATGATTTTTATTGACTGACGAAAGTTTCGAATCTACGTTTCATTTGATTTAATTGCTTGTTAACGAAAGATCTTGTCTATTTTTTTCATCAACTGTGAAAAATAGTTTTAATCCGATATAAAAAAAAATGAGTATCTTACCATGTCGAAGCAGCTGGCGGTAAAGAATGAAACACATCATTAAAGACATTGTCCATCAATTCTATAATACACAGCGATAATAAAGCTCAAAGTAATGCCGATAATTTGATGGGGAATAAATAAACGAGGCATTTAAGTGATTTAAAAGATTATTGTATAATCCTTGGGCCGAACCGCAACCTTTCGCTCGGTTTAGTATCACCCCGAACAAGTTTTATTGCCGGCGGTATCGTCGATGGTAATTTAATAGCTGAGGAGTACCGAGAGAAACGAGTTAATCGCTCGTCAGAAGATTTACCGGTTAGCCGTTGAAAGCCCCCGGTAACTGCAAATACATTAAAACCCAGCCCACTCGCGCCCATCCGCTCGCTGTCCGACGACGCGTAGAATTGTTCAATTGACCCAGAGAAAAATATTCCACGGATTGATGACTGACAGCCCGGTGAGACGGCGTGTTTGTAATTGGCCTCGGATTTTGCCCCGCGCGTATATTTCGGCACGATTGTCGTGCGCCCGCCACACGCATCGCCGATAACGTGCGCCAACCTGTCCGGATCGGTCTCGCTCTCGGGAAATATTTTTTTACAATTTCGCGCCAATTGTCGGTGATATCAACACCGGTTTCACGATCTAAACGATTTCGCGAACACCGCTTGCTTTATCTGCTAGCAGATTCGGCTTTTCCTTCCGAATCATCGTGAAATTATTTATCGAATAATCTTTGAACAGCACAATTCTAAAATGCATTTTGTGCAATTCCAAATTTCACTTTTTTAGTTTTTTAGAGATGACACATAGTGTTGAAGGACTCGTATTATAAGCTACTCTGAGATGTTCAGAGAGCATTATTTCATCGTTAATTTATATACTGAAAAAACATAGACATTTCGAATATGTTTCTTAACTAGAAACGAACAAAATGCATTTGTTTAACATTTTTAGCAATTGTTTAATATTTTGTTTAATATTTCACATCCTACTGATTGTATTATTATTTTCTATAAAGTGTGTAATTTTCTTGTGCGGTATTTCTTTCTTTCTCGTTTTCTGAAAATTATAAATTTTGGACAAAACGCATTTTGAAAGTCTGTTCCTCCTTGTTCTAAAAAAAAAAAAAAAAAAAAAAAAAAATCTAGCAAAATCAAATAACAAAAATTAAAATTACACTTAAAGGGACCCGCGTTAGTTGCGTTTCATGAAAAACTCGAGATTTCTGTGCCATGTGTTTTCCGTATCTATATGGCGAACGTCCGCGATGCAAAAGTATCGCAAATAGAAAGGCGTGTGATACTTATGAGAATTCCATTATAATGAAAATTAATTTCGTAATAAGCTCGCGTTGAAATGAAGCTTTTTCATTGATTGCGCGTTCCGCGCAATTTCCAAGCGCCCGTGCACGCTCGCCGACCCTTTTTCGTCGTGAAATTCCATGCGAATCTGTTTAATGGCTCGCTCGCAATCGCGAATAAACGCGGGGACGAGCTTTTTGTAGAGCGCGGCGTGTATGTACATGCGTGCACGTGCGTATGTATGAGTCGTCGCGACCGCACGTTCGTCGCACGCGCGCGATTCTCTCTCTCTCTCTCTCTCTCTCTCTCTCTCTCTCGCCACGCGGGGCTTGTGTCACACAGTAGCGAAAAATATAAAATTAATATTGTATCTGATCCGTGCGTGGATACCTTTCTCTCTCTCTCTCTCTCTGTTTCTGTCTCTGTCTCTCTGGATATCCTTTTGCCGCGATAATCGCACGATATTGAATCGTCATGAGGCGGATAATTTTTTCCCCCCTTCTGCGCCGAGAGACTGCCCGCCCGGGCTAAAATACCAGAGTCAATATTTTCAAATATCCGCCCGACGTTTGATATTTGCAAATTATACACGTATGAGGACTGTGCGTGCGAACGAGCGAGCGAGCGAGAGAGCCGTGAACCGCGCACGCGATCGACTCGCGCACCAGTTTATGAAAGAGAATTTAGCCAATAAATTTAATGCAACGCTAATTTAATCGGAAGAAAATTTTGCCAGGCAATTTTTTTCGGGACCCGCTAATTAATGAGCACCGGCATGCGGCTCTCTTTCTCTCTCTCTCTCTCTCTCCACTTTTATTACGAGTCGCGGCGGCTTTATTGCCAGTACGCGGTCGGTAGTAATTAAATGCAACGAACGCGCGAATGTTGCGCGGCATATTGAATTAGCGGAATTGTTTTCGAATCTTTTGCGGAGAGAGCGAGATCCACGGCAATGTCACCGCGATGTCCAACGTCGGGGTCTTTTTTATTCTTACCTTGAGAACTCGCGCAACTCATTGTCGTTGTGCCATTTGGTCCTCCATTCTGCACTGGTGATGGATACCTGAAAAGCAAAACGAAATCTTGAGCACTTTTGCAGATTCATAAGATATTTTTTCTGAATAATAAATATTTGTGATATATAAAATTATATTAATAAAATAAGAAGAAAAAATATATATCAAGTAGTATTGTTCACGGTTTATATTTATTGTGAAATGTTTTTGGTTTTCAGACGCGGTTATTTCGGATCACCAGTATGCCGCTCCGCAGCAACAGGTAATACTGTTCGATTGTCTATTTAATGATAAGCTATCTTTTAAGATTTAACGATGTCCATCCGGACATATGCATCGTGCCGCATAGTTAAAATCGACGCGAAACGTGATAATGGGATTATCGTAATTTCCTCGTACAGTTATTTAATCAATCTTAAGCATGTGTGTACATATAATTTCGTAAATTTAACTTCTCATTAAAACGACCAATCAATAATCTAGGAGCTAATTACGTATTATTTCAATATCCTTTTGTCAGCGTTTTTCCAACATAATTTAACATTTTATCGAATTTTCCTTTGATATTGAAAATATCGAATATTACATTTGACAAACCCATTACGAAAGCGGTACTTAATTTAATTAATTTTCAAATTAGCTGTAATGTTCTTTTAGTTAGCTCTTCCCTGTCACATTTAAAAGGGAAAGAGCCTCGGAAACGGTTTTTCTCTAATTAAAATTTCCGTAATGTGATTGTCCTTTATCAAGATAGTTTCTTGTGTATGTTTTCATTTATGTCAGTAGCAAAAAGGGATTGTAAATCTTTTCCGCTTTAATTTACGTTCACGCTCGTGCCACGATTTTGGATTATATATGTCACACTTTCTATTTTTTTATATTAATTTCTTTACGCGGTTATCACGCAAATATCCCGCTGCCGTATTTCCTAAAGTTATTACACAGACAAGACAAGTGGATGAAGACTCTGCAAGTTTTATAAGTTTTAGTTCATGTGACGTAACATGGCGCTTCAACTTTATCCTGAGTTTTTCCTTTCATTTCATTAAAACTTCGCGAGAAAGAGAAGCGTCGTACAAGTTAGTTAAAAAGCGTTGCGGCGGCGGTTATCGAAGAGTAATTATTGTTGCGTATGTTAAAAAATCCGTTATAAGCACGATAAGGTGTGTAAAGTAATATCATTTAATTTACGTTCAACTGTACGACGTATCGATCTCGATTACGTCACGGACGAGGTAATAAAGATACGCATTAACAATTTAAATACAATGCTGATGCAACGATAACGCACGTCGTAGCGCAACTTTATTTAACGGTTACACGATAGCGTCGTTTTATTTTATTGTAAAGTACTTTGAAAATTTTTTTAAAAGCGGAGAAGAACAATATAAATTCTAGGAAATTAATATTTGCGCTGATAATCCTGAGGTGCAGATGGGCAATTTGCATTTATCATGGATGCAACGTCGATTTTTCAAAATTTATCTTTCCGATATACATGCAGACCACTCAATTAGGGATTATTCAAAGGGGAAAAAAGGAATGTCGATTTATAACGGGGTGGGGGTGGGGGAGAGGGACCAGAGGGAGAGAGGAGGAGGAGGCCTTGTTCCGTCTCGGATGGTGGACGTGCGCACCATTTAATTGATTGTGCCCGGACGCGCGAGCGGCAATTATGATCGGCGTCCTCTCTCTCTCTCTCTCTCTCTCTCTCTCTCTCTCTCTCTCTCTCTCTCTGTTCCGTCGTCCCTCTGTCTACCGACTAATTATGAGACACGCTACGCGCTCATGCTGTTGCCACGCGCGTCGAAATCGTTTTGCGCGGATTACAGATATTATCGGACGGCCGCGATATTAGAGGCCGCGGGATGAGCGTCGTCGAGCGACACTTAATTATCGCGCGTAGCCGAGCGAAGAACGTATCGTGTCGTCGTTACGACGTTGCGAAGCATCGATACCTGATTGTCAGCCCACCGCATGTTCGTTGGGAACATCATGGTTGAACTTTAACTGGAATTAACCTTTTCGCCGCGGCACTGTTGAGCTGCCTGCCTCTTTTAAAAATGCGCAAGGCAAGCATGCGGTTACGGTGCATTGGCCATGTTTATTATTTCCATGTAGATTACCGATACCTTGATTGATCGTTTCTTAGAGCTTTCTTTATCGCCAAGAGTATGTCACCTTGGCTATAAACGCATATGCGTATTTTTATATGCAACCAAAGGGTTAACGAGAAAACGTTACCTACATCGGAAAATGAATTTGCATTGATAGAAATTCTGATTGAAGATGAAAATTTTCTGGCTGAATCTATTATAATTCTAAAATAAGTAAGGTAATAAGTCAATGAGAAACAACAAAAGATGTCCCGCGTGTAAAATTTCTTTATATTATAGATTCTGTGTAGACGTTTCGACTCTTGCTTTGAGTCTCTTCTTCAGTGTATCACTGAGATAATAATTTCATGATCTCGCATGTTAATAATTTAATAGATTTGTTAAAGATATACTGAAAAAAATTTCTAATTAAAAATGGACGAATCAAAATTTTATAGTTAAATTTATTAGAATTCTAATTGAGGTAACCGGAATTCTGTTTGATACAGTATTTCTAAAAATCTACTAGAATTCTTATTTTTACTAGAATAATTATATCAGAATTCCAGTTATCTCAACTAGAATTCTAATTCAAGTACATTTAACTAGAAAATTCTGATTCGTCCATTTTCTACCAGAATTACTATTTAATCCAACCAGACCATTTTTTTCATTGTGTGTATGTCGCAAAAAATAAATAATCAGAATAAGAAATCCAAGGTTCAAAATTAATAAAACGACTTTACTTACGATTAGTATTTGGTAGAATACTTAAATAGTTAGTCAAATGAAACTGTAAAAAAAAAACGATAAAAAGTCGCAGTGAAATTACTATAAATGAAATTAATGATACAATGGTGATTAAAACTTACAATAGAAAATTGTCATGATAAGAGATATCCTGATATAGTCAACCAATGTGTATATTGCGAGTTATTACAAACTTGTGAGAGAACAACGGAGTCGAACATATGTTTAACATAAATCATAAATAGATAATACGTACAGAATAAATGCGACGATAATAAATAAATAAATAAAGAAATAAAGTGTGGAAACATCAAGTGTTTCCGAAAAGGTCAACAAATCTGTTAAATTATTGGCATGCGAGATCATGAAATTATTATCTCAATGATACACTGAAGAAGACCCAAAGTGAAGTCGAAACGTATGCACAGAATCTATATGATACAAAGAAATTTTATACGTAGACATTTTGTGTTGATTTAATTGGTTTATTACTTCACTTATTTGAACTTTATTCTTTGGAACCTATTCAATTTTTATATATTATATTATAATTTTAGATGAAATAACTAAAATTCTGCATTGATATCATCAGACTCTTCTGCTTCGTTTATTTTTAATCAGAAATTTTCTCAGTGTACATTCAAGTACAATGGCCGTCATACAAACTTTTGCACAATACATAATGCATAGTGCATGAGAGAATCAACCAATTAAATCTTCTTTTCCCTTAGATAGAAGGAAAGGAAGGATTCTGATTGGTTGATTTGCTTATGCAAAAGTCTGTGCTGCGGCTTTAAATTGTGTTCAAGCGGATTTTTTTATGTTTGATATGCTATGCTCGGTTAGAACAGTTTTTAGAAATATTACTCACCGTTTTTTTCTGGGTGGAAAACGAAAAGATATAATGGCTGCTTTAATGACGACAATTATGTCGACGATATTTAAAAGAAGACCCAGTGACAAAAAAATCATTTGCTATAGCGAAGTAGAATGGGGAATGCCATTGAGATTATAAATAGCGAAGATTACGGAGACGACGTTGCGCATACGTACGTGAACATATAATTATATCCTGAAAGTAACTAATCACTTGTTGTTTTCCGTATTGCAAAAGAGGATATGCCTCGTTGAGATCCATGCGGTGTTCCGGATGAGACCAACAAATTTCTCTACGATTCTAATTATCATTGCAACACCATATGACATAAGACATACCTGTAAATAATTTTTAACAAAGTTTCTACCATTCGAATGCAGCTAAATTAAATTTTTTTTTTTTTTAATTTAAAAATCAACGAAGCTTGCAAGAGCGATAAAATCATAGAAAATCTAAGTCAAAGTTATGGAGAGAAAGACCATGTCTCTATTGCTTTCGATATCTCACATTTCGAGCTTGTACGGATGCGAGCTCCATTTCGAACGGCTGCGGAATCGGGTAATTACGGTCTTTGACGTTATTGAGCCTCGCGCGATTAGAACCGATGTGCAGCAATGTCAGGATTATCTAATGAGGTGAGATTATCCTCATGGGAAGTCGCAATTAGCGGTTTAATTTGTCTCCGAATACAATCAAGCGCGATCAGATCTCATCTCTGCGAAGAGACGTGTGTTTCATTTGAGACATGTTTATTTTCGTGAAAAAAGATCGAAAAAATATTTCCGAGTTTTCCTTTAGGTTTTCTGCTCTGTCTATTTACGTTCGCAAATTTTATATCACATATTTACGCTAACAAATGTATAAAAAATTATTAGAGAAATAATCCCAATTTTTTATTTTGTTTTTTTAATTAAAAGAATATTCATTTCATGCTGTAACGATGTGATATAAAATATGCATCTCCATGTGATGTCCAGTTGCACAAATATATTGTCAAGTAATAGTGGATTTAATGAAGCAAATG